TTTCTCCTCTCCATCATTCTCCTCTTCGTCCTCCTACTCTTCCTTCTCCCTCTTATAAAACAGTAAAGTCTTCGTTAATGGTGTTTTAGCCCCCTTAATTCCCCCTTAATTAATGGTACACATCTATCACTTAAAAGGTGTTAATGGTGAGGCCTTCCCTTTAACGGATCTTAATTATATACGTCTTCCCTTTAAATGACCGTAAACAATAATTATCCTTTCACTTTAACCCTTTGGCGACGATGGTTTAACCCTTTGGCGACGATGGTTTAACCTTTGGCGACGATGGTTTAACCCTTGGCGACGATGGTTTAACCCTTGGCGACGATGGTTTAACCTTTGGTGACGATGGTTTAACAACACTTTGGCGACGATGGTTTAACCTTTGGGACGATGGTTTAACCTTTGGCGACGATGGTTTAACCCTTTGGCGACGATGGTTTAACCCTTTTGGTGACGATGGTTTAACCTTTGGTGACGATGGTTTAACCCTTTTGACATGGTTTAACCTTGGCGACGATGGTAACCCTTTGGTGACGATGGTTTAACCCTTTGGTGACGATGGTTTAACTTTGGTGACGATGGTTTAACCCTTTGGCGACGATGGTTCAACCCTTGGCGACGATGGTTTAACCTTTGGCGACGATGGTTTAACCCTTTGGCGACGATGGTTTAACCCTTTGCGACGATGGTTTAACCTTTTGGCGATGGTTTAACCCTTTGGCGACGATGGTTTAACAACACTTTGCGACGATTCCCTTTGGTGACGATGGTTTAACCCTTTGGTGACGATGGTTTAACCCTTGGCGACGATGGTTTAACCCTTGTGACGATGGTTTAACCCTTTGGCGACGATGGTTTAACAACACTTTGGCGACGATGGTTTACCCTTTATGACGATGGTTTAACCTTTGGTGACGATGGTTTAACCCTTGATGACGATGGTTTACCTTTGGTGACGATGGTTTAACCCTTTGGTGACGATGGTTTAACCCTTGGTGACGATGGTTTAACCCTTTGGCGACGATGGTTTAACACTTTGTGACGATGGTTTAACCCTTGGTGACGATGGTTTAACCCTTTGGCGACGATGGTTTAACAACACTTGGCGACGATGGTTTACCCTTTGATGACGATGGTTTAACCTTTAATGGTAATGTTTGAACCCTTCGGGACTCAAAATGGCAGAATGAAACACTATTTTCCATAAGGTTTAACATTCTATTTTTTTAACTTTACGAAATATGGAGCTGGATTCACACCCTATATAACCGAACCCGAGTCTGGGTTCATTAATCATAGGGTGCCATAGCCTGTCTCAGCGGTGGCACTACGGCATTACTGCAAGCCAGCCGTTGGCACCCGAGAGAGAGAGAGAGAGAGAGAGAGAGAGAGAGAGAGAGAGAGAGTCATCATCCTCATCTGTACACAGGTTCGTGTGATTCTGTTTGAGAGTTTGTGGAACAGATGATTTTGTTAAGGTCACAAAGATTAAATACTGATAACTCTCTCTCTCTCTCTCTCTACACACACACACACACACACACACACACACACACACACACTCAGGGGTAGCTTCACGTACAACACAACACAATACACCCACCACCACAATCACTGCCCCACGCCCGTCTTATCACCATGCACCGCCACTATCCTGGGAAAACCAACCCCCTCCTTCCTCCATCCGCCCCCCTGGGCAGACAACCTGACGGGGAGGGGAAAGGGGGGGGGGTCGAACGTACTGTGAATATTGGCTTATATAAATATCTATTTGGTTTGATAACTAATGAACTTTACCCCACACACACACTCTCTCTCTCCCTGCTTACCTACCAGCCCCCCTTCCCACTGACTTAGTAGAAGTTTGAGTAGCAAAACGCCTGGACAAACTAAAGTTAAAACGCTCCACCACCCCCATTGACTTACCAATGAAACTCTTCAAGGAGTTCTCCCTGAGCTTGCTAAACACCTATGCTCCATCATCAAGTTTTCAGTCAAGCCAGATGCCCAGCTGACTGGAAGACCTCTATGTATCACCAGTGCCCAAGTCAACCAGCCCACAACTTAAATCAGCTACGACCTATTGCAATCACCCCAATACCCAGCCTAGTCTGTGAAAGTTTTGTGTTCGACTGGCTTATGCTGATATTGCAGGAGTCGTAGAACCTCAGCAATTTGGCAATATGAAAACTTCCTCCACCACTCACTGTCTTGTCAGCTTTCTCGGTTACATATACCGCCATCTCGAGAAACGAAAACGTCTGTAGCTGTCGCCTTCATTGATTTCACTAAAGCATTTGACCTAGTCGACCACAATATAATCATCAACAAAGCTATTGACTGGGCTTCGGAGAAGTCTTATACCATGGCTTACAGACTTCCTCAGTGACCGACGCTGCTGTACGCTTCCGAGGGCTGTCTCCACCTTCAGTCACTCACCTGTGGCGTCCCCCAAGGCACCAAGAAACCCCGCTCGCTGGAAATATGTCGACGACTCCACCATTGGGATCAGCGTCAACATTTCTGCTCCTGACTATACCGCCCTTCAGGATTTAATGAACAAGTCTCAAAACTGGGCCACCAACAACCATGTCACCATCAACCATACCAAGACCATGGTTATGAATTGCACATCAACCTCTCCTCCGAACATTGTCCCACCTCCTTCCATTACTTTAGGTCCGGAACACACCCAGGTTGTAGATTCCACGAAGTTCCTCGGCGTCACCATAGACAACAAACTAAATTGGAAACCACACGTCAGAAGTTGTCAACCTCCAGTTTCCGTCTCCACCTACCCCATTGACTCAAGTCCCTCGAGTTCCTGCACCCGAGAGCTCCTCAGTGTTTACACAACATTCATACTTCCCAAGCTCACCTATGCCTCCCTACCTGGTCTTCCTCCCTAAATGCCACACAACGTAAACACCTGGAAAAAGTGCAAAAGAGGGCATGCAAGATTATTCTTCCCTTCCTATTCCATATCAAAGCGCTCAACACACTGACCCTTTTCGACTCTCACTGACCATCACCACGACCTCATCTGCAAATTTGGTAAGTTTACACCATCCTCGACACCGGCTCCTACTACCACCTGAGATCCCTAGCCCGAGAATTGCTGTTCGGACACCACAACCGCATCCAGCCCATACGTGCACGAACTGATCGCTACAAGAACAGCCCAGTCCCAACCATTGTAAAAATTATCAATAACTTGTAATAAACCAGTGTATTCACTCCCAGTAAATACTACTTTGCACTGACACTATGTTGAAATGCACTGTAGTTTGAGCCCCCACTTAGTTATTATATGTCTTATTTGTATCACTTATGTTACTTGTATATTATTTGTAATTCGAAACCCATTCCAATTACGTAACTGTATATTTTCAGCCTTCCGGCTGCCATGCTCTTTCAATAAACCGTTAATTATTATTATATATATATATTATTATTATTACACACACACCACACCCACACACACACAGGTTTATGGTGATGTAAAACAACAGTTGTGGCACCAACCTGTGACTGAGAGAGAGAGAGAGAGAGAGAGAGAGAGAGAGAGGGGGGGGCAACACCTAATAAAACACACTCAACAATATCGACCCAACTCTATTCACCCTGTTTACGTCGTCATAGCTTAATTTAACCTTGCAATTGTAAATTGTAAATGTTTAAACAAAATAATAATAATAAAATAAGACAAATGAGTCTCTCTATTATATTTCTGGAGACTCAAACGTAAATATTAATTCTCAAAAGATTCTTACGACAAATTTCCCTCTCCCCACCCTTCCCTACCCCATCCCCCAGGTAACAGTAGACCGGGAGGTCCTTGTTCGTCAGGTCCACTTAAGATACGATTCACAGGAGCAAGACCAAGATGACATGACAAGTGCACAGATGATCTTCAAACAACTCCAATTGTTTTTTGTTTTTCTTTTGTTTTGAATCTTAACTTACGGGATAAAAAATTGACTTAAGAAATTATGAGAATCGAGGAATTTTGATGACTGGATTAAGCCTCCCCTCTCACACACACACACACACATACATACACACATACATACACTGAAAAGGTTAGGTTAGGTTACACGAGCTGACGTGGGCATGAGGTACACACATAGGCTGGTTGTATAAGAGTTTATCCCCGTGTTCTGTCACACACACACACACACACACACACACACACACACACACACACACACAAAAGAACTGGTATAACACCTGACCCCACGAACATACCTGGGAAGAGGAGGAAGACAAGGAAAGGACGAAAACGAAGAGAAAACAAAAAGGGAAGAAAAGAAGGAAGTGGGATGAAGAAGAAGAAGAAGAAAATACCCATAACAGAAGGAAAAGATTAAGGCAATGGAAGAGGAGGAGCAAGATGAGAGAAGAGGAAACGTGTTCTAAGGAGTGTAAGAGAAAACGGAGACACACCAGGTTGAGATCTCTCGGGGTAACTCAATTAAACTGATGTTACCTTCATTGTTGTCGTAGAAATGCCCCCCCTCGGTCCTACCTGAGTCTTAACCTAACCTAACCATCAGTACTGGATCCCAAAGAGTGAGGCTGGGTTAGGATTTACTTTGGGCGGAGTAATACGTAGTAGGGGTCACTCCACCCGTTCACTCCTTTCCGTCTACCATACCTCTCCTGTCACGCTAGACTGAGGACGAACTCGATGATGATGATGATGGAAGTAGGAACAATTGAGAAGGAAATAGGAAGGTGACACTAGGAGTAACGTCAGGAAGGTTAATATAATAAAACTGTAAAAAAAAAATAGATTAATCACCTGGGAAGTTATACTGAATGGCCGGTGGTGACAAGAGAGTCATGAGAGACGTCACCACCCTCAGGAGAGAGAGAGAGGGCTCAGTTGTATTCTTCTTGCGTGTTATTGTTGACGGGTTAGGATGGTGACAACAACAAGTCCTGCCGACACATAACCCTGGACCTACAACATAGAGAGGGCAAGAGGGAGTCACCTTGGCTGCTGTAGCATTGAGGCGGGGGCGCTGACGGAGGGACGATGGGCTTGGCGTGAGTGTGTGGACTAAACCCGTTATGAATATTCTGCCACTGGTACTGGGAATACCTGTACTGCTGGAAGTTACAGTAGGCCGCGAACGACGGAGGAAAGGCACACGGCGGGTACACGGGTGCTGCCTGCATCTTGGTTGATGGCCTGGCGTGGTGCAGGACGGGCGACTGGGTTATGCTAGGTGACAGGCACTAGACGGTGGACGGCTGGAGAAGGACGGCAGTTTGTATAAATCCTAACTACTTGTAACACTCAGTTCGTGAGGCGACGACCACACACACAGGTGAACACCGGCCGACACAACACAACACTAGTCAGCAGCAGTGGACGTGACACAGCTGATGGACCTGGTAATGACACTACTGTAGGAGGCGAGGTTAAGGCGCGCTCCTCCTCCTGTGTCCGTCGGCACACTCAGTGGCACCGCAGACCTGCCACTAGTCCCTGTCACATCTTATGTAACGGTGACGTCACGCACACCGCCACTCACCTTACCCACACCCCACCTGACCCTCATTACACCCCCACGCACACCCTACCACCACACCATGTAAACTATCTCACCTGACCCTCATTACACCCCAAGCACACCCTACCACCACACCATGTATACCCACACCCCACCACACCCATGTACACATCTTACCAACACACACACACACACACACACACACACACACACACACACACACACACACACACACACACACTACCTAAAACACAACCTATTTATCTGTATTCTCCCACCCACCACGTCAATATTAATTCCATCTTCAAGTTACAGCCACCAAATAAGAATCATTATACCTGTAATTACTGTACCTGTAACCCACACCTTGATCTGGCTTTATGTGTCCTTGACCTGACTTACCTGTGTGGAGCATCTCAGGTACCAAAGGTTAATGAGGGAGGAGATAAAAGGTGTGTGTGTGTGTGTGTGTGTGTCAGGTGTGCAGACAAGAGGTGTGACACACTCAAACCACACACGGGCCAAACCTGTTACCCACACCCTCCCACCCACCTACCTACCTACCCACCCACTCGTCCACCCACCCACCTACCCACCCACCTACCCATAACAACAACAACAACAACAACAACAACAACAACAACAACAACAACAATAATAATAATAATAATAATAATAATAATAATAATAATAATAATATCTAAACACTAACGTCACTGCCCTAAATCTGGAAGTGTCGCCGTCACCATTAATCTGAATTTTCGTGGGGACAAAAATCTGGATTAGTTTCATATTGAGTGACGTGCACGAGTTGTAGGTGACGTCATGCAGTGATGATGCGACTCACTCACTATGTACTGTACTGTAGGTCCTACACCATGCACGTTGCTGGGAAAACTTGACCCAACCTTATCTCAAGTATTTATTAATACTTTTAGAGGTCACAAACTTAACCTGACCAGCCTGACCTAACCTAACCTGGAGAGAGAGAGGAGAGAGAGAGAGCAGCGGCCATAGGGGTGGATGACGGTGCTATACTGTACATGTGAGCGGCCTACAATCACTCTGTATGTATGTATGTATGTATGTATGTATGTCTCTCGCTCTCATTACAGATATAGTTGGGGTGAAACTGCTCACTCCTAGTCATCATCGGTCTCGTGATTGTTGCTGGCAGGAGTCGTCGTCAGGAGTGAGAGGCTGGCGGTGAGACGAAGTCCTGACCGTCCGTCCGTCCTTCCGTCCGTCCGTCCGTCCATCCATCCATCCGTTCGTCCTTCCGTCCTTCCGTCCGTCCGTCCGTCCATCCATCCATCCGTTCGTCCTTCCGTCCGTCCGTCCATCCATCCATCCTTCCGTCCGTCCGTCCGTCCGTCCGTCCATCCATCCTTCCGTCCGTCCGTCCGTCCGTCCGTCCATCCATCCGTCCGTCCGTCCGTCCGTCCGTCCGTCCGTCCGTCCGTCCATCCATCCTTCCGTCCGTCCATCCGTCCTTCCGTCCTTCCGACCGTCCTTGTATTACCGGTTGACCCTGAAATTCTACTTATCCCTCCCCTAACCCTCCTCCCCTGGCCCTAACCCATCCCCTATTCCCCCTACCCCCCATTCCTCCTCACCGTCACCCATACAGCCTCCTTTTCCTTCCTCTCCTTTCATCTCCTCCTCTTCTCCATTGACCATACCCCACACCCCCTGAGAGAGAGAGAGAGAGAGAGAGAGAGAGAGAGAGAGAGAGAGAGAGAGAGAGAGAGAGACTAGGCATGAAGAGTGTACATCAAGGTGACCTTCCCTCGGCCCACTATCCCGCTACCACCATCATTACCACAACGATCACCATCATTACACACCACAAACCAATACCATCATCACTACCTCCTCCCTCACTATCACCACCGTCACTACCCCTTCCCTCACCACCACTACCTCCTTCCTCACCACCACTATCATCACCATCACCACCACGCTGGGAGTTACTGCCGTCCATTTTAATACTGCACCGCCTCTTATACTGGACATTATGTGTATAATATATATTAGTATAACAACAACAACAAAAACAACAACACTGTGATGGACTGTGTGTGTGTGTGTGTGTGTGTGTGGAGTACGTGCATGTGGGGCAGGACACGGGGATAAGCCCTTATACAACCAGCCTATGCTTGTACACCATTGCCCAGCGTCAGCACGTGGTTGGGTCATGGCATCTCCTGGTCAGCCTCCTCCCCCCCCCTACACCACAGGTACAGCGTCAAATCTCCCCACACCTATCCTATCCTATCCTATCCTAACCTAACCTAACCTAACCTAACCAACCAAAGCAAGAAAATACAGAAAACGGTCAATTCTCACTTTAGTTACGAGCGATGACGTGATAAAACCATTACCACGCAGTTTACTAGACCCACCTGTGAAGAGGCTGACCTTGGCGAGACACACACCGCCACCTACCAGTAACAAGGGTGTCCGGCTGGGTCCACGTATAATACCTTCCTTAGATGAGAGATCAGAGACGCAGCATGACGACCAGCTAGAGATAAACACTGACTAACCTTGGTCAAATTACTGTTGTTTGTTTACCTGCACAGTCTGTAAACCGTATATACCTGTATTGTCTATATATACAAGTCACGCTAATTGTAGACGAGTATGACGGGGGCGACTACGATGACTCAAACACAGCAGCGTCATGGTTGTCACGGCAACGGGTCAGGTCTATGACACAACCCACACAAAATCTTCTTACCTACAGTAGCCTCTAGCCTCCCTTACTCTCCTACAGTAGCCTCCAGCCTCCCTTACCCAACTACAGTAGCCTCCAGCCTCCCTTACCCAACTACAGTAGCCTCCAGCCTCCCTTACTCCCCTACAGTAGCCTCCAGCCTCCCTTACCCAATCAACTACAGTTGTCTCCTAGTCTCCTACCCAGTTTAGAGTAGCTCCAGCCTACACCCCCAGCCAGCCTCCAGCCTACACCCCTCAGCTAGCCCCCCCAGCCTACACCCTCAGCTAGCCTCCAGTCTACACCCCCCTCAGCTAGCCCCCAGTCTACGCCTCACAGCCAGCCTCCAGTCTACACCCCCACAGCTAGCTTCCGAAGTCTACACCCCCACAGCTAGCCTCCAGCTCCACCTCCCCCAGCTAGCCCCCAGTCTACACCCCTGCCAGCTAGCCCCCAGTCTACACCCCACAGATAGCCTCCAGCCCACACCCCCACAGCTAGCCTCCAGTCTACACCCCCACAGCCAGCCCCCAGCCTACACCCCCCACAGCTAGCCTCCAGTCTACACTCCCCACAGCCAGCCTCCAGTCTACACCCCTCAGCTAGCCTCCAGTCTACACCCCCACAGCTGGGGCCTCCAGCCTACACCCCCACAGCTAGCCTCCAGTCTACACCCCACAGCTAGCCTCCAGTCTACACCCCTCAGCTAGCCCCCCAGCCCACCCCCCACAGCTAGCCTCCAGTCTACACCCCACAGCCAGCCTCCAGTCTACACCCCTCAGCCAGCCTCCAGTCTACACCCCCCCAGCTAGCCTCCAGTCTACACCCCTCAGCTAGCCCCCAGTCATACCCTCAGCTAGCCTCCAGTCTACACCCCCACAGCTAGCCCCCAGTCTACACCCTCAGCTAGCCCCAGTCTACACCCCTCAGCTAGCCTCCAGTCTACACCCCTCAGCTAGCCTCCAGCTCCATACCCCCATAGCTAGCCTCCAGTCTACACCCCCACAGCTAGCCTCCAGCTCCACACCCCCACAGCTAGCCTCCAGTCTACACCCCCACAGCTGCTCCCAGTCTACACCCCCTACATTTTAGTCAGGCCCACACCCCCACAGCTAGCCTCCAGCTAGCCTCCAGTCTACACCCCCACAGCTAGCCTCCAGTCTACACCCCCACAGCTAGCCTCCAGTCTACACCCCCACAGCTAGCCTCCACGGAAGTTTAAAGGTTGTACCGTGTGGTGATTCACTAAGGTTTACTGTACAACGTTAGGGTCAACCATATAGTGACGTCAACAAGTTAAATAGATCGTCTAAATTGGCTTATTAGTTATTTATAACACATAATGCTTCTTCACTACAATGCCTTAAACCTATTACTACCACCACAACTACTGCTGCTGCTACTGTTGTTGTTATTAGTGTAGTAGTAGGATATTAAATTTTAAGGTAATAAAATGGCGGCGAAGGTGTGGCTACTTGGGGAGGATGGAGGCTGAAGGAGTAGTAACATGACTCAATTATCATTAATATTTACACAAATTACTTCACCAATTATTAACCCAAAATATTTTATAAATCCATCAGTAACAAAAAATAAATAAATAAATAAAACAAATGTTATTATTGTGGAATAAGTGATAACATTTTAACCGTCTGGTGATAACAACAGGCTGTGGCGATAACACCTCCAATGTATAGTGTTACTGTGTGTCGTCTTCAAGCTGTCGTGTGGCGCCTTCAAGCTCTCTAAGTTAGCAGCTTATTTCACCTGATGAAACATGCTGACACTGACCAGACCTAACCTAACCTACCCCCACCCCCTATCCCAGAAAGCATTAGGGTGTTTAGTCATGTGAATTAAGCTAAAAGGGGAACTAATAATCATGTGATTTTTTTTTCCAATATGTAATTACAATAAGAACAAATACTACAATTCATACTTCAAAATAAATTCAGACTACTGTATTTGATTTTACTTTATTATACAACTATGAACTCTCCCTCAGTCACCCCTCCCTTCATCCCTTCCTTTTTGCTAACATAATATCACACGTATTTAAATTATCCTGGAAGAGGTATTGTAAAATCATTGTCTTTACCACTAGGATGATAACTAATGTACTGTATGTTGTGTATATTCAAAAGTGGTGTTTCATTTTTACTTTTAACCTTAATATGTCCAGTGAATACTCTCTCTCTCTCTTGGGGGTTTATTGT